GCCAGTTGCTTAGGAAGTGTTCTAATTTACAACTGACCTCCCCAGAGCTACTTGACCTGTTTTTGATGTTTTGACAGCCATGCACACACGTGCACGCACACGCGCGTGCGCGCACACACACACACACACACACACACACTTATGACCAGTTACAACTTCCCACATAGTCTTGTGACTGAGGTTTTCTATGTTTTTTGCCAATTTCCAACAATTCCTTCTGGTTTCCAGTTAAAAATGCTCATTGGGGAAAATTGACTTATTTAACAACCACAGTTTTTGCTTAATGGCCACAAGGTTCACTTAACAACCATGGTGTTTATCTAACCCAGGGTCTGCAACCTTAAAACACTCAAACAGCCGTTTTTCTATTTTCTTTTAAAGATGGATCTTTCTCTCTGTGTGTGTCTCTCTCTTTCCCTCTCTCTTTCTCATCTTTTTCTTTCTTCCTTCCTTTCTCTCTCTCTCTCTCTCTCTCTCTCTCTCTCTCCCTCATCTCTCTCTTCCTCATTTCTCTCTCTCTCTCTCTCTGTCAGTCCCTGGGGGGTGGGAAGGAATATAAGTAACTTTTTTCAGTTCTGTTGTAACTTTAAATGGAGGCTAACAAATAGTTGTAAGTCAGACTATCTGTATCTGCGGCTTTAACCTTCCAATTAGCATCTAACTAGATTTCAGTTGCATCTCTGCACCAGGCACAATAGGATAATTTCCTTATTACCAAAATGCAGGAAAATAACCCAGGCTCACAAGAAGTTGTATTTCTAAATGTTTTTCAAGCTTAGCAAATTAGCAAATCTGGGTGTTTTTCAAGCTTAGCATGTGGACTTCAATTCTCAGAATTTCCCAGGCAGCATGAGACCTGATCATTTGATTACTCCCAAGTCAGTAATATGAAAGAATTATCAACTTTAAAGATATTGAGCATTGTATGAATTGATTTAACAAGATTTCATACTTACCACACTCATGTCTCTGTTTGGACAGAACCATCAAGGCATTTCTTCTGGATTGCCCCTTGTACTAAGACTCTGGTTTAATATTGCCGCCTCCTCTTCATTAAATGCATGGATTGACCTCAAATGGATGTTAATTATTTTCTACTGGTGGATTAATCTATAAAATGTAATATAAACTGCCCCTTCATCACAATGACACAGCTTTAAATAGTAAAGTCCCCCCCCCCCAAATATCTCTTCCAGGATGGCTGTTCCTAGTCCATTAAAATGTTCTAGGGTTAGTACTTGTTGTAATGATGAGGCAGTTGAGGTGTTTGACCATGATCAAATGAATCATGATGACTTTATTGGAGTCTAGTCTTGTATTTATACACATTTTTAGTAATCCTCTAACATTGGTTAACTTTGGTTGTTGCTCAACCTTTGTTACTGTCTAGCATAGTAATTAACACAACTAATTATCTCTAGTTAAAGTCTAACATATGTTTACTTCCTCTCTCTAATCCTTCTTTGCATTAGTGATTTTGTTTGTCTGAGTTGTATTTGCTTTGTCCTTATCTGAGGTTTGCCATCAAGATAATGACCTTCCTGCAATTACAACTCTACAAGTGCTGTCTTAAATTTAGAGATTGTTTTTGGTTTAATTATATTAGTAGTGTAAATCAGCAGAGACTGACTACTGAAAATCATATCTAGGAAGGCCAGCAAATCTAATTGCCTTTCTACCTACATAACATAATTTTAAGGCTAAGTATTATCTGTTTATATTATCTGTTTTATCTGTTCATATGCACTACATATGCACTACATCTATAAAAAGCCATAACACAGCAATTTCCAATGAATTAGTCAATTAAATAATGTTAAACTACTTTTCTCCAGCAATCTGGGCTAAAGCAGAATTAAACCATATCTGCTCCTTTGTTTTCTGAATGGATTTTATAGGAAGGAGGCTTAATTTCACACCCACACACACCAGCCACTTCCCACTCATTTAGGAAGCATGGAGGAGGTAGTTAGCAATAGCAAAACTAATTCAATATCTTTCAAATGGGATAGTCACAGACGGGAATAGGAGGAGGAGAGAGAAAGGGGTTCTTGCTCCGGGCTACTTTAAAATGCTTTAAACTCTTCTTGGAACTTCTTCTCCTTGTAGCACTAAGCTCTTTGGTTTTTATTTTGAAATCCAGCACTCTTGGATTTCAGGAGTGTAGCTGGAGAAGCTGGATTTAAAAGGCAAGCAGCTCGGTGCTACAAGAAGTGCCGGGAACCAATGAATTAGTCAATTAAATAATAATTTTAAACTACTTTTTTCTCCCAGCAATTTGAGCTGAAGCAGAATTAAACCATATCTGCTCCTTTGTTTTTTGAATGGATAGGAGGAAGCTTAATTTCACACTTACACACATCAGCCACTTCCCACTCGATCTATCTCATTTAGGAAGCATGGAAGACATAGCCACCAACTGCAAAACTCAATATCTTCCAAATGGGATGGGGGGGGGGAAGAGAAAGGAATTCTTGCTCCAGGCTTAAAGCCTGGCAGTTCCAGCAACATATCTTCAGCCTCATGAGAGGCGAGGGGCAGGACCAGCCCAGGGGCACAATTTGTCGGTTCCCCAAACTGGGCAGAATCTTAACATCCACTTCTATGGAACCGGTGGGAACCAGTAGAATCCCACCCAGTGTATACATATTTTCTTTAAAGGCTTTTTCTGTTTATAAATAATACCTAGCTGTGACTTTGATTTCTTTTTTTAAAAAATAAAATCCTACCCATAGAAGTAGGGATTGTAATTTTTTTTTCTTTTGAAGAAGTAATGGCAAACAATCTAGTATGGTATTATTTAAATTTACAAGGTCTTGAATGGCCTTTTCTTAGTTCTAGTCTCCATCTGCAAATGAATGTGGGGGAGTTTGAATGAGCAAACTCAGTTCTAGAATAGTACCGTAGGTGTTTCATCAACTATCAACAAGACAACTGCCTTGTATAATGTAAGCAATAGTAGTAACTGAGTTTTTAAAATCCATGCTCCACTCATTTTAATAAGGAATGCCTTTATAAATTTGAATACTTGAATAAAAGTTTTAACAACTAGCTTGGCCAACATACTGTTCAAAATGGAATTGTAAAACTTACACATCTCAACTAATATAAAATACTTTCTTTGTTTCTCTGATTAGAAAAAAAATAAGCCAGAGTAGCTATTTCCTTAGATTCTGCTGAAAACATAACTAATAACTAGTTTGTTTATTCTGGTCATTCATTCGAATGACAGATCAAACTATACCTTCTGCCAAATTTTGACACAACTGTCTGCCCTTCAGTAATGATAATCCCTCCTGTCAATGAACCATATCACTTTATTGCCCTTCTGCTGAGTCTTTTGGACTTGCAGTGGATTATTTAAAAATTAAAAGTTTAAATTGAACCCAACACTTTGAAAAGACTAAACTTTTCAAGAAAAAATCTTTTCCTAAAGCAGTTCTCAAACATATTGGCTCCAATTCTGTTGGCACTCATTCATCTGTTTGTTAATAAGGTAATTGAACTATTTATTATATATAATATCAATTATTCAAGGCTGCAACAGCAAAAGAGAAAATGGAATATGATTTTATATTTTGTAATGGTCCCTTTCCCTTATTGGGGAAGCAGAATGCATGTATTTTAAATTAAGAGCTCCTTGTTTCTTCCCTCATTATGTAAACAAGTTCAATAATCTTCTCAAAGTTCAGCAAATTCCTTTTGGGTGATGTAGGATTTAAGTCTGCCTCTATTTGCTTGCTTTCTTCTTTCCTCTGAGTTTTTCTTTTTTATTTTTACACTCTGCAGCTATAAATGGAGATACAGGAGCTGGATATTTAAGATAATCTCAATTAGTCATACTGTAACAGTTTATATCTCTAGCTGTCCTACTGTCAAGCAACAATTGCAATAGTGAGCTGATCAGAGTGTCTAGCTTTTGCCAGCAATTCTCCAAATGCCATATTTAATTTACTATGCTTGAGATATGTTACTCCAGGGTTATCAAACTCAAGGCCTGCAGGCTAGATCCAGCCGCAGGGTGCTTAGATCTGGCCTTGGAAAAAGTGAGGGACTGGCCCATGGTGCCTCTGCCACTGAAAACACGTGGCCCTCCCAAGCTCTGTTTTTGCTGGCAGAGGGTTGCAGGAAGTCATTGCAGCTAGAAACAGAGCTCAGGAGCCCATTTTTTGTTGGCAGAGCAAGCAGGCCACTACAGGTACCCCCGACACAAGTGATGTCAAGCTGGCCATGCCCACCCTGGCCACATCCATTCCCATCCCTGAAGGATAAACACAATCCTGATGTGACCCTCAATGAAATCGAGTTTGACACCCCTATGTTACTCCCTTTTTGTACAGGATGTGAGTGTGGAAATGGAGAATCATGGGAAAAGTGAAAGAGAATGGATAGAGTATCTTAGAAGATATCCTAAATTTCACACGTTTAGTCTCAGGTGTTTCTAGCTTTATGGTATGATGATTTGTTAGTTATTGGTAGGATTTCAGGAAACAGCTGGTGTGTATTTGATGAATAGTTGACTTAGTTCTTATACATATTATGAAAAGGTCCTTAAAATTGTAACTGGCATATAGTTCCTATGTCAAAGTAAGTAGTTTTATGTATGTATAAGTTGACTTACAAACATTGGTTTGCCTTATGGCCTTAATATATTTCTTAGTATATTGACCCTCTTCCTAATAAAAGTTCTATTTAGGAAAATAAATCTTTTATGAAAATAATGAACTCCACTAAAATGCAAATAGTAAGTTTTGTTTATGGAGATGAACTTGAAAAGCTGTTGAGAACTATTTGAAGGTACTGGTGGAAAATGTCAATTTCTAAACCTGACAGTGGAAAGCGTAGTTTATAATCAATTGGGGAAAAAAAGAATAATTAACTGGAAAAAAACATGACAGAGGAGAAAGAGAAAACAATGCAAGAAGACAATGCCGTGGCTTGTACTTCTACAACCCCCTCTATGGTCTGAATTAAACTGTTCTTTTTTACTCTTTTTATAGAGAAGAGTCAAAGATGTGATATCACCAATTGTCTTTGAAGTTACATATAGCCTTGGGGAACATATTGTGGAAAAGGAGGAAAAAGAATTACCTGCGCTCAAGCCTGTACTCCGATGGAAAGGAGGCCAGAAAATTTCACAGAAAAACCAGGTTCGAGTTTGGAAATTTTTTCTTTAAAAACAATAATCAATGTCAGAAATAAACAATGTTGTCTGCTTCCCTAATGGGAGAGAAATGAGATTCTCTATCTTTTTTTATAAATAATCTTTATTGAACATATTTTCACAATTAAAAACACATTTCCACTCATTACAGTGGGTTTGTACCAGTGTTCACTCACACTGATATATTTCTAATTGTGTAGGTTACTACTGCATATTGTTATTATTTAAGACACATATTCACATAATTATTTACATAATTATTTGCATGGTTATAGATATAATTATCTCATCTTGACTTAACTCCTACATAATTTTCATCCATCTGCTTTGCGTCTACATTCCAACCAGTTATACCATAAATTCCAAATCTCATAGTACTCTGTTTCTTCTGTATCTTTTAATTCCATTGACAACCTCTCTGCACATTCTAAAACCTTTTTTATTATCATGATATTGGAAGAAATATTGTTGTCCAGCAACCGCTCCAATTAAATCATGATTCTCAAGCCAAACTTCAAAAATCCTCAAAGGATTTATTAGAGGCGACATACTTGCACTGCCCTGTATGAAGCCAACTCTGGCATATGAAATTTACAGTCACCTGTGACCCTATTTCCCCCCTTTCCCCGGGTGTCTCATAAACCAGATTCTCCAATTGAGCAGTTCATGGGCTGGGTGTCATCATTCACGTTCTTCAATTAAATTTATTCACTGGCAAAAGCTCTGGTATTTTAGTTAACAATCTTTTAAAGATAAGAATTGGAATGTACTTTCGCTTTCAAACTGCTGCATTGCTCTTCCAGATTTCCTTCCTCCCCCCCACCTTTTTTTAATGGCAACTACTAAAACAGGAATAGGAACCTTTTATGAGTTGACATTTGGCTCCTCTTACTTTTTGAAGGTGACCAAATTGAGTGCAGATATAGAATGTAAGGCTCCCCAGACTTGGTTGGATTTTCTGCATGGAATTTTCTATAAGGCGATCGGCCTGGACGTTCCAACTGTTTACCAAATATGCCTCGGATAACGGGTAGCCCTTCCACTTGATTAAGTATTGGAGTTGTCTCCTGTGCTACCTTGAATCAAGGATTTGCTGCACCTCATAATGGGTTTGGCCTCATATGACCACGGGGTCTGGGGGTTCATGATGTAGGAGCCTCAGGGTCGATCCGACCACAGTTTTTAAGAGGCTACTGTGGAATGCCAGGTATATCTTCACTAGCAATTGGGGCAATTTCAACTGCACCGTGACTGGGTTGATAATCTTTACTATGGGGAATGATCCCATAAACTTTGGCCCCAGTTTCTTGGTAGGGAGTTTTAGCCTCTGATATTTTGTGGAGAGGTAGACCTTCTCCCCCACTTGGAATAGCTGCTGCGGGGCTCAGTGTTTGTCTGCCTGTTTTTTTATAGGTGCTTTAGCTAGTGCTTTTTTAACATTCTCCCAAGTTGCTTCCAGTATTGATATTCATTCGGTCAGGCTGATTGGTGAGGGCGGGATCCCTTGGATACTCAAGCATTGGGACGAAGTCCATACTACTCACTACCCTGAAGGGTAACCCCAAGTCCCATGATACTGTGGACAGCATTATTGTATGCCATGAAATGCAGGAGGTCCGCCCAGTTGGACTGCTGGATTCACATAGTGCCTTAGGTACTCCGTGAAAGGCAGGTCTGCCCAGTTGGACTGCTGATAATTCCTATATCACCTTAGGTACTGCTCTACCATGGCATTCAGTCTCTCTGCCCCCCCATTGGTGCTCAGATGAAAGGCTGAGCTAAGGCCCTAGGATGACCCAATAGACTGCAGGAACTCCCTCCAGAACTTAGCCATCAACTGAATCCCTCTGTCTGAGACAATTCTTCGTGGTACTCCATGCAGGTGGTAAATGTGCTTCAAGAACACTTGGCTAACTGGTGGGCAGACTGCAAGGTATGAAATGCACCTGTTTGGAGAATAAGTCTATTACAGTCCAGATCACCTTGTTCCCTCACTTTATGGCAACCCCACTATGAAGTCCATTGCGATCTCCTCCCATGGCCTTGTTGGCTCTGCTACCATTTGTAGCAGTCCGGGGAGGTTTCCTGGTCATTTTTTCATTGCAGTGCAGATGGTACAACTCTTCATATAACTGTCCACATCTTTCTTTATGCCGGGCCATCAGAATTGCCTCCATGCTAAGTGTAAGAACCCAAAGTGGCCTGCCGGTTTGGCGTCATGGCTCCTCTGAAGGACTAGTGTTTGTAGGGATTCTGGTATGTAGAGTTTCATCCCCTTCCATGCTAGGTCATCTCTTTTTGTCAAGATGTGTTGATTGTCCCGGAACCAAAGGTCTGTTAGTAGTTCGCTTTTGAGTTTCGTGGTTAGGTCACTTGCAGGTTGGTCTTGCCAGTCATGGCGTTGTTGTCTGGTATTTACTTGGGCAGCTATTTGGGTAGGCAGGATAATGATGTCTACTACCTCCTCCTGTTCGCATTTGTATTGGGGCATAAGGGAGAGGGCATCAGCTAGAAAGTTCCTCCCCCTGGGATGTGCTGTAGCACAAAGTTGAACCAGTTGAAATATTGAGCCCGGCAAACTTGTTTGGGCAATAGTTTTTGCGGGGTCCTAAGGGCCTCCAGATTTTTATGGTTGGTCCAGACTTTGAATGACCTCTGTCCCCCTTCTAGCAAGTGGTGCCAGGTTAGGGGTCCCCATCTCACTGCGAAAGCTTCTTTTTCCCATGCAGCCCATCACCTCTCTGTGTCTGTGAACTTGCAGGAAGTGTAGGTGCAGGCTCCCTTGGTTATTTCTGCAGGCTCCCTTGGTTATTTCTTTGGAGTAGTACTGCTCCCACTGCATGTTGCTGGCATCTGCTTGGATGATGAAGGGTTGTTCGGGGTCAGGATGCTTCAGCACTGGTTCTTTTGCAAACAGTTCCTTCAGTATTTCAAATGTCTTTTGGCAGGTTAGGTCTCATTGTAGGGGTTTCCCAGGTGGGGTTTCGTCCCAGGGCTCCCTGTTTTTAAGAGATCAGTCATGGGTTTGGCAATCCTCATGAAGGAGGGAATGAATTGCCGGCAGAAGTTTGCGAACCCTGAGAAGCTTTGTAGCTTCTGCAGGTGCAAGGGGATTGCCAGCCTAGGATGGCTTGTACTTTGTCTGGGCCCATCTCTATGTCCTCAATGGAGACTCAGTAGCCCAGATGTGTTGGTAAAACTTGCATTTCGACAGCTTGACATACAGGTTTGCTGCTAGAAGTTTTTCCAGTACCTGGCAGACTAGGGGTAGGTGGTCACCATGGTCTCAGTGTAGATGAGAATGTCATTCAAATAGACAAGGACCTCCTTATAGAGATGCTTGTGTAACACCTCGTTTATTAGCTGCATAAACACCATAGGGGCTCCCTATAGTCCAAAAGGCATGACTTTGAATTGGAAGCTCCCTAGGGGGCAGTTGAATGCTGTTTTCCATTCATCCCCCTCCCTGATGTAGACTTGGCAATATGCCTCTTTGAGGTCTAATTTGGTAAAGACCTTTCCCCTGGCCAGGTGAGATAGCATGTACTTCATGAGCGGGAGGGGGTATAGGTTTTGTATACCCAGGCCGTTGATGCTTCTAAAATCGATGCATAATCTCATAGTCCCATCTTTTTCCTCTTTGAACAGGACTGGGGCTGCAACTAGTGTCTTGGCTGGCTCGATGAAACCCCTTGCTAGGTTTTTGTCTGTATATTTGTGCATTTCTTCCATTTCCCAGGGTGTCATGGCATACTTTTTGGGCTTTGGTAGTTTTGCCCTGGGGATGATTTCTATGAGGCAGTTTGCCTCATGATGGGGAGGTAGGACATCACATTCAGTCTCGCTGAATACCTCCACGAGGTCCTGATATTCTCTTGGGATCTGTCTGGCCCCTGGGGTTTTGTCAGAGGTGGCTTCCAGTTGTTCTGGCAAGCCCTCTAGGAGGGTTCCCTGCATGGGCGGTGCTTCTATTTGATGGTGAGGAGGAGGTTGGGATCTCTTTGATATCCTCAGTCTGAGGCTGCCTCCCCACTTGTCTAGCCAGGAGAGTCCCAGTATGACTGCATCTGTCATTTTGGGGGCCACTACGAATCAAATTGTTTTCCAGTGATCATCTAGCTCTAGCCTCACTAGTTTAGTTGGCATGGGTCCCTCCCAATAGGCACCCATCAACCTGTAGAAATTGGATCGGGTGGGCCAGCCTTTTTGCTCTGATCCGCAGTTTCAGGACCATGGTTAGGTTGATCAGGCACCTAGTGCAGCCTGAATCTATTAGGGCTTGGAAAGTCCCCGGAATCCCTGTTTTTGGGGCTGTGCGCCATATTGGGAAGATGAAAAGGGGGACTGGTCCATTTACCATTGGGTTGTTTTCACCCTCATCCTCACTGTCATAAGAGTCAGGCAACTGGTCATTGTCGTCTGGGGGTCCCCCCTTTGGTTGGGTAGGGAGGGACCTACGCAGCCTGGGGTCTCGTTCCAGTCGTGCTGTGGGTGGTTGTTCTGGCCTTGGTTTTGGGCCTGGGGTTGTGCATGCCACTGCCATGTGACCTATCCCTCCACATTGGTAGCATTTATTTGGGCTTCGTAGGAGGACTGGTTTTGGGACTGATTGTGGTGCTGTGGTTCTTTGTCAGCTGGGTGATCTCTGGTCTGGCTGATCTCTCTCTTTGGTTTCTGGTGGCTTTCTTCTGTCATTAGCGCGTAATGCCCCGTCGACTTTTATGGCCACGCAGAACCACTCAGAGAGTCAGTTTGGGATGTCCCAATAGGCGGTTACTTGGCTAATTACTTGTTCTGAAAAAATGAGCCAGCATCCGCTCAGGCAAAAGGGGTAACTTCCCACTGATCCTCCTGAATTCATGGATGTGTTCCTTGTGTTCCTCCCTGCTTTAAGTTGCTGAGCACATCTTCCACATACAGGTCCTCCTCTGCCTCCTCAAATCTGGCCTCTTGCAGTCATAGGAAGTCATCTACATCCTGTAGCTA